AGAAAACAACACAAAAGGAGAATTAATTAAAAAAACAAAACAGTTTTTATCTTTTAGAGAAAAAAAAAAGTTTGAAAGTCAAACTTGGATTCTGTTTCACTTCAGTCAAATGGAAACGTGGGTCAAATTACAGTGTTACTTTCAACCTAATGCTTTTACTAACCTTAAGCAAATTATATTTTACTTTAAACTCTATTTTAAACAGATTAAAATGATAACAGATTATCAAATAATCAAAAATATGCATCTATTCCGAAGCATTTCCACTTATAGGCAATGATGATTTTAAACACCCAAAAAGCACATTTTGGACAAATTTATTTTCACAAAGTTGCAATGGCTTAGTATTTGCAGAATTATGTAGAAAACATACAGCAGTCGTACCAATAAGTGGACACAAAGCAGTGAATTAACTAAACATGCTTGTTTGTTTCAGAACAACTGAAAATATTCTTACTCTGGGTCTGATCATCCACCACCAGGGCAAAGTTTTGGGTTTTGAGGATGCAGGATAACTTCCCCAGGTTGTCCGTCAGGTGCACCTAAAAGCAAACATGTTGCAATAAACACGGCAGCCATCCGTGTTGCAGAGGATTTAGTGTCTCCACCACCAGACTGACCTGTCTGAAGTCCTGGAAGAGCACCATGCTGACTGGATCTGATAGTTTGACTTTTCCATCCTGCACACTGGAAAGAATGGTTCCCAGAGTGACCATGCCCAGGATCTCACTGCAGAACCACACGAATCAAGAAATATTCAAATGAAATACTCTCTTCTTTTCTTTTCTTGAAAAGAAGAATCAAGTTGGAGACGGTTTCATAAAAGACACAACTGTGTGCTATTAAAAGATGAAACACACTAAGATTTAATACAATCTGATAAACTGATTCCAGTCAAATAAACTCTGAAGAGCATTACCCAGATTCACTGACGACTGGCGCCTGGTCGAAAGCCTTCTCTTTCAGGACCTTGATGACTTTTTGGCAGGACAGGAATGGAGCGAAGGTGAGCGGAGCGGAGAGGTGTAAACTGTGGACTGTCTTGTTCCACCACCTTCAGCGGAAACATGTTAAAACATCCAGCTGTCACGTCGTACCCAAACGGGAGAGATTTTGTTTTTTTCACTCTTACCAGGGTTCGATCTCATTCGGACTCTCCAGGAAACCTTTCTCACACATCCACTGATCGCACAGGAACTTCGACCTGGAGATTGAATCCTGCAGGTAGTTTTTTTTTTTTTTTTTTTTCTCATTGTAATAAACTAAAAGTTTAGTATTTACTAGACAGTAGACTGAACCACATTCATCATCATGATCCAGTTTATCCCACAAAACGTCTCATCGTCTTTTTTTATTCTACTTTACTAATTTGTGCCTTACGGTAAATCGTAAATTACCACCTTAACATGGAAAATGTATTTTCTTATTATTAGTAGTACACATTTTTGCAATAAATACAGCCTCGATGGACCAATTAAATATTAAAGTGTGTATTGTAAGTTAAAAGAAAAGACGATATCATCAGGACTAAACAAACTTAAACTTAACTTAAACTTTGAACTGTTCTCTTACTTTGTAAAGCCTTACAAAATGATGGGAAATACCAAAATGTTGAGCATTTATTCTTAGCTCTGAATGGAAACAAAACCTTTAGTGACATCTAGTGGCAAAGATTGCAACTAATAAAGGCTTCCTGGCTCATTACTGTTTCCCATCCGTGTCAAATACTGTGAGAGTTTGAAGATTGAAAGAGCTTCAAAGCCAGAATCAAATTTAAAATGTTTAGATATATTCTTGGCACAAAACCACTCTAAAAATAAACGATTAGAACCTTAAAAATACAGATGTGAATTAATATTCACTTTATCTCTGGTCAAACAGACGGCGGGAGGTGATAATGGAAGTCTTATTTCTGAGTATTGGTTATTATAACGTTCTTTATTCTCTTACATGTAGTTGCGGACCGAGTCTGGCAGGATGACCACGCAGCGCTGTCCCTCCTCCAGCTGCTGAGCCATTTTCACTGCTGCCGCCATCGCTGAGCCAGAACTCCCACCTGGATCATCAACAAATTTAATGCAAAGCAACACTAAAAGTCTTTTAAAAAACTAACATGCTAAGCTGAGCAGAGGTCCAAGCTCACCACAGAGGAGGCCTTCCTCTCTTATTAGTTTGCGTGCCATGTTAAATGTTTCCCTATCGCTCGCTTTGTACCACTGGTGGACAAGCTGGAGGGTTGATGAAGAGAAAAATGAAGTAGCTGAAAACTAATTACATTTCCAAATTCACACCAACACTCACAGATCTGTCCAACACCGTGGGGATGAAGTCATATCCAATGCCCTCAACCTCGAAATGACCACTTTGATGCTCTTCTGAGTGAACCAGCATAGAGCCCTCAGGATCAACACCGATGATCTGCAAACAAATTACAAAGGAAGCACTTACAGACATGTACAAGGTGTGTTTCCTGGGGAAAATGTTTTATTTTTGTTGTTGACTAACATAAAATCAAAGCAGCGTTCCTTGGTAAATCATTATTGAGTGGGTTTAATGTAGATCTTGCCTTGACATTGGGGCATTTCTCCTTCAGCTTTCGAGCTACGCCTGTGAGCGTACCACCGGTCCCTGCTCCAGCTACAACCATGTCCAGTTTACCTGAAAGGAAAATCACATTTCTCTCTAAGTAATTAATTATCTTTTTTTTTTTTTAAATTCATGTTAAAAAATCTGCAGGGTTTAGAATTTTTGTTAATCTGTGATTTATATTTGGTGTTAGCTTGTTTAAAAGCTAGTCCTTCTTTTCTTCTGTTCTTTTCACACACTGCATGGAGGATGCTACTGTAGGTCAACATGCTAACCTAGGCTAGCATATTGTCTACCATTTTGACTACGCTAAAGCTAGCTTCAGTTTTTTAGGTCATTTTAGCGTATAAATTGCTGGTGGGATTTCTGCGTTGACTGTAAGTTTTCACTCCTCTACAGTTTTTATTTGTGTTTTGCAGGCTTTTTCTTTATTCAGTTGCTTCTGCCTGTTTCTTTCTGAAAGTCTTGCAGTTGACCTCAAATGCTTTTTCAATTTTCACTAAAATTATTCAGCATTCACGCCGCATTTTCACAGGAAATGCACGATTTTCTAGTTTGATTCATTATCTATAACAGTGAATTCAACAAATGAATTTCAGTAGAAGACAATACTCAAGTTCAAGAAATGCATTACGTTTTTAAACATATTAAAACTAGTTGGCTTAAGCAACAACAAACTAGTCATATTTTCTTAATTTATCAAAATGTCATTTATGAGTTTAAGTTGAGAAGAACGGATTCAAATTTAAGGAAATTGATCATAAAATTTATGGACATAGTTTCTAAACATAGGCCTACTAACCAATTTTTAAAACTAGCAATTTAAAGACACAAACATGTTTAGTCTGTTAGATCCTGCTAATAAGAACAGGCTAAAATCTTAGTTAGAAAAAGTGAAAAGCTGGTAGAAACATACCCTTTTATTTATTTTATATATATATATATATATATATATATATATATATATATATATATATATATATATACTGCTTTCTGATAAGATCCCACAAAAGTATTTGAACCCTGAACATGTAACTTTGTTAGACCTAAAAAGATCATTTCAGTTGTGTGTCTGCTGCATTTATTCTGAAATTGACTGGACAAATAAAGTCATTAAATGTTCCATAATGTTAGAAGAGTAAATGAAACAGCTCCATGTAGTTTACAGAACTGGAAATCTGCAGACCTTTCGGTACACTGTTATGTGCACAGTTCACTATAAACATATTTCATACTAAAATGAAAAAAAAAACCTTCACACTGCTCCAGTATTTCCTCAGCTGTTGTATCGTAGTGAGCCAGGGGGTTACTGGCATTACGATACTGGTCCAGGACGTGCGAGTTGGGAATCTCGCTCTTTAGTCTCCAAGCTGTGCGAATGTGAGACTCCGGCGAGTCAAAAGCTGCAGATGAAGGAGTGCGAACAATTTCTGCCCCGAGAGCCTTCAGCACATCTACCTACGACACAGGGGAAGATCAGCTGCATGCGCTGAGCGACAGTCTGATAAAAAAAAAAATGACTTAATGCAGGAAGCAGCACTTTACTTTCTCCATACTCATCTTCTCAGGCATCGCGATGATGCAGCGGTAGCCTTTCACAGCCGCTATGAGAGCAAGTCCGATTCCTAGAAGTAGACGAAACTGGTGCTTTACAGTGGCCGGCACACATTAAGTAATTCAATCCTAGTTAGGTGAAGGACTTGTTGAAGTACCTGTGTTACCGGAGGTGGGCTCAATGATGGTGTCCCCTGGTCTGAGGATCCCGGCTTCCTCGGCGTCTTCCACCATCCGCATTGTGATTCTGTCTTTAATGCTGCCTCCTGCGTTGAAATACTCACACTTGGCAACTGAACCAGGAGACATAAAAATGAAATAATAATGAGAAACATTTGGTGTAATTTTCACTTTTTTTTTTAAAAAAACAACAAAATATTAAAGAAGTAGGAATGTGAAGCTGATGCGTCAACGCTGTGATTTCCTTATTTCTAAGACATACCAGAAATTCGCAGGGTTCAACGTTGGTTGTTACAAGAGTTCAACTAAAAATGTTCTTTTTAAAGGTGAAAATAAAACAGTTTTTATTTTTTAGGAGGCATTGAAATAAAGCTGTATGAACAGTTTAGAGAATGGGGTATAAAACCATGGATTTTGATTAACCTTTTCATAAGAAACAGATTAAAAGTTAAAATTTGTGATGCTGTTCTTTAATGTGTATTTTGGGGTTTTATGCATTTTGTGTTTTTAATGCATATTACTTCCATTACCTGTCTTTTTTCTGTAATGAAATTTAAATAACTCTGTAATAAGTTGCTATGTAAATAAACTGTCTTGCCTTATTGACCCAAATAAATCCCACTTGGAAAAGTTGCTAAGATATTTACTTTTTATTCCACCAAATATTGATTTCTGAACTCTTCCTGAGTTAAAACATTAGTGTTGATGTATCTATGAATATTAACTTGTTTTCTTAACATTATTTGAGGTCTGAGAGCCAGTAGTTCACAGAATAAAAAAAACAATCTTCATTTTACTCAGACATATTCCTATAAAATGTAAAATCAGAGAAACTGATCATTTCAAGTGATCTCTTAACTTTTTCCAGAGCTGCACATTTTCTTTTGTTTTAGCTCAGCATTTAACTATGTCTCTTTTAGTTTCCTCCCCAAGGCTCCACGCATCAGAGCAGAGAGAGCTAATTAAAGAACAGCTTAATCTTCAAATCTAAATTTTTCACTTGAGGTTTGGTTGTGGCATCAACAAAGGCCGACAGATAACCCGGCAGGACGTCTCCGTTTGGTAAATATCACGCTCCCTCAAGCTGCTGCACGCACCAGCCAACTGCAATCTTCCTGAAAAGCACAAATTCGGGGTCAGATGCAGCGAAGCATCCAGTGCATGTGTATGTAATTATAATTGGTCTGCAGCCCTTCCGTTCAGTCAACAGAGCATTGTAAAGGGACGGAAAGCAGATAATGCCTATATTGTTCTGCTCATTTTCTTTTGGAGGAGGGTTTTTATTCTGGGTTACATATTGCTGGGGCTCTCAGCTCACATGACTGCATTCAAGCTGCAGAGGGACTCCAGTGTGAGTCCAAAAACTACAACTTTTGTTAGTATGCAGACAAACTCCAACACCGCGAGAATCTACTTGAATCTCGAGAGCTGTTGAATGTCACCCGAGCAGCTGGGGCCTCTAATATAACGATGACCCAACAATGTCATTACGACTAGTATGCGAGAGATGAGATAAGCTTTGATTCAATCTTCAACCGGAAATATACAGCTTCATGTCTAACAGTTCTTTCTCACCCGTCTTGTGTCGTTTCATGAACTTAATTAAAAATATGAGCAGCTGGTTGTAAGGCAAGGACATTTATTTTAATTGGTCTCAAAAGGCAGCAAACAAATATTCTTAATATGAAGCTCTTTTACCTGTTTCTTGCACCACATGTCTCAAACAGATGGGATTAAGACAGCATATAGATTTGAAATGGAAGAAAAAGCTACATGGTTTACTTTTTTTTTTTTTTTAATTGTGCCATCCATCCGCATTTAATTCTTTGCAGATCCACTTCTCATTGCAACTACAGCTTTAAGTCTTTTGGAACGTGTCATTCTCATCTCTGAGGCCAGAAGGTTTGGTACAGAGCACCTCCGTCCACGTGTTTCTGAGCTAAACATGTCTTAGTGATCCCACCTGAGCCGTGGATTTCTGCAGCTGCTCCAGACTTACCACAGGCCTCAACATGCTGTTTGATCACTTATCAAACCTCAGTCCTTATATATTTGTTATAAAGAGGGTGGGTTGGAATGCACACCAAACCTTTTAGGTTTTTATTCACTAAAAACTGGGGAAAACTCGCATCGTTTATTTTCCTTTTCACACTTTTAAGGTATTGTGTGTTGGTTGATTTATCACATAAAATCCTCAGTGAAGATTTTTGTTTGTAAAGTTCAAGGGGGGGGGGCGAAAACTTTTGCAAGGTGATATAAAATCTTCCCTTTTTCAGCAAATTGTGAGGCAGCAGAGGAGATTCTCTACCAGGCATCCTGAATGTTTTCAGGTTTCACGTTGCGTTTTTGCTTGTGGGTGTGTTTTTCTCCATTGGCTCAAGAAACAAAGAGCCTTTCATTTTCACCTTTCTCTCCGATGGACCCGACTGCCTCCTTAAACAAAACCCCACCAGTACCAGCACCCAGTTTTAAGGCCATGAGGTGTGTGATACTGGATGTGTAAGAGGTAAGCAGGAAGCTCACAGGATGACTGCGTTGTCAGCAACTCCAAAAGCACCTCTTCCGCCTTCATGCATTGTTTTAACGTCGGACTGACTCTCTGAAAGGTGCGCAGGTGAAACTCAGTGGTGATTTTCAAAAGGTTGGTGAAGAAACTTGGGTTGTCTTTTGCTGTGAAATGGAGCATTTCCCCCTCAGTTATCATGATAAACTTTAATAGAATCTAAAGTATTTAGACTTTACTGGATTAGTCGTTCTTTTTTTGCTGGTTTAAGTTTCTCTCTGCCATCCTCCCAATCTTTAGCGGTCCTCTAAAACCTGTTCCAGAAGCTGATCTGACTCCTGTGCGGTTGTGTCATGTTGCACTCACACATTTCACACTTTAACCCAAACTCCTTTGGGATTTTGTTCAGGCGGACCAGAGGTGTGTGTCCAATGTGTCCGAGGATGTTGGGGAGGATTCTTGGTGGCTTGATGCTGCAGCGAACAGAAGACAAGTGACTCTATTAACAATGTCGACAAACAGTTTTCATCACAAACAGGAGTTGCAAGAGTGTAAGAGCATCACCTAAAACAACAGCTTTCAAATTTATCAGTAATGTTTTATATCATTGTCTTCTTCTTCGCGAAAATATGAACTTATATTATGGATCAAATTAGGACTTCTGCACAGTACACCAGACAAAACAAGACAAGAATGTGGCTTTATTGTCACACCTTTGTGTTTTATTCCCCATACCTTCAAAAAAGACAAAAAAAAAGTGAATGGTCTTCTCTTTAACAGGTTGTTTTGGTTTTGGTGTGACTCTTACCGTGGCGGCTGGCTGTGAGGGGACTCTGACATCGGCGCGCCCGGCCTCCAGCTGCATCTGCTGGGTAAATCAGGACGAATCCACTTCATCTGAGCAGCAGTCTCTTCTGCCTTTTCCTCTTTCGCACCATTCTCTTCACACGTTTGGTGGCATTTGTCCTCCTCGTCGATGCGGCCGTCTCCTCTGAACGCAGACGACTTCTGCGCAGCGGGGAAGATTTCCACAACTCCGTCCACGGGACACTTCTTCTCTGCGTACGGCAGGTTTCCTTCGTCTGCGCACGGAGTTTGAGCATCTTTCAAGCATTTGCTTCCAGACACAGAAGGCATGGCTCACCTGCAGCAGAACGTCGCTTTAAACTTTAAACAGAGAAGCTTTAAAATGCAGCAGACGCGCTTGGATCAATTTATACAGTCAGATTGTTTTGTGTCCAAATTAAATAAGCTCTGTTCTGCACCAACTTACTGCTCCCATCATTTGCTTTTCTGCATATGTCAAAGAAATGTTCCATAAAGATCACAAGGAGAAAAAAACACTTGTTTTTATGCCTGATTGGGCTTTATACGCTACAAAAATATCTAGGTATTTTATCTATTGGAAACATTCTTATGTCATGTTTTAGCAGTGTGCAACTCCTCTTTATGATTTGTCTTGTTCTGCTTTTGCTAGAACAAGTCCTTCAGTTCTTGTTCTGCTGACAAATGCATTTTTCAGCAAGCCGCCGATAGAGGAAAGCTTTATTACCAATCAAAAGATTTATTTATAAAAGACATTTTCCTTATACACAGAAATATTCAGCCATTTCCTCCTGCTTCGGTTTTCTTTGTCAGAAATATCTTCAGTGCTCCTAATAAAATTTGACCCCATTTCTTAATGAAAAGTTAAAAAATATATATATTTTATTCACATACAGTTCTCTTATAAGTTGTTAAAAAAAAAGGTTATCTATTTTTTTTAATGCTTCTGCTTTGTGAAATGGCTATAAATAAAAGTTAATTATTTAAAAATAGCAAATCACGTATTTTATTTCCAGGGTTTGGTTCCTGGAAAATCATTCTCTTTTAAATACGTTCAGTTGTAATTGAATGTATTTAATTGCAATGGAATAAGTTCTAATTTGTTTCCAAAATAATTGAAAGCAGTTTAGGGCAAAAAGACATACTTAGTTTAAACTTTATAGCCAAAATTAAAACTCATCTAAAACTCCAACAACCTCATGTTGCAGTCAGCAAATCAGAATGATTTTTTTTTGCATTTGAAGCTGCACCTTTAATTCGTTAAAATAAGCTGCATAAAACACACATATGTACCATTTGAGCTAAAGAAGACAGTGTGAACAGTTTGTCCAGGTTTTGAAGCAGGTAGTTTCTCTCCATGTCAACCTTACGGGTTTTAAACATCTAATTAAACGGAGAGAATGAAATTCGACCAAATTGCACAAGTTTTAGATAAAGTCTCAGTAAATTCTGCTGCATCATTTGTTTTCCAGTGAAGCAGTGAAAGAGGATACTCACTCACAGGAGGCTGGGCGCCACTAACACACTTCCAAAGGCTGCTCCACACAAAAGAGGCTCCTTCCCAGACCCAGAGTGTGTGGGGGGTTTTGGAGGCTGCATGCAGGGGACCAAACCACTGACGTGCACCGATGGGGGGAATGAAAGTCTTCTGCATTTCAACATGTTACACTCTCTATGAAAGAAGGAGATTTTAATGAATGCCGTTTTATTGTGCAGGATGATTTCCCCCGAAGGGAGAAACTGAGGTAAAAAACTCTCGGCTGTTTAGATTCGGGGGGTTCCGGACTCCTTGTTACCCCCTGCAGCATTCCCACCTATGTGGCACCGTAAAGCAAAACTCTGCAAACAAATTGTTCTGATTCAGAGGATTTCGAATCTTCTTTATGCCTTTTTGGATCAATTTACAGCTTATAAAATTAAGTATTTGGTTTGCCACTCACAAATAATCTCAGATTTGGAAAACACATTCCTTATACTCAAGTCCTTGTTTTAGATTTTCTTCAATTTATTTTTTATTTTTCTGTAAATTCTAAAGGTAATTTGTTCAGGTTTACTTATCTTGAAACATATGAAGTTCTTACTTTTACTGCCTCTTTTTTCCCAACGAAGGTTCATGTTTGCCAAGTTTAATGTCATTAACTTATGAGAATATTGTGTTTTGGACTGAACTGTAATTTGTTTCCCCCCTCAAATCTTTCATAGCTTAAAGCTATGTGAAGCATGTATCGATTTGGTATTTACTCCTGAAAGAAACACATTTTTAAAATAAATTTGCATATTTAAATTAATTTTAAAATTTTCAGTTTAATTTTGTCCAAAAAATGTATGCGCTATAAATCAGTACATTTCTATTTACGAAGATAAAACCACTTAGACTTTCATTACAAAACTGGCATTTAAATGATGATTAAAGTTCATGATGGCATTCATAAAAACCACAAAAAATAAATTTATGCTAGTTTTACATTGGGGTGAAATTTCAGCCCATCCTTAAATATTGCTGGTTAAAAGTTAAAATTTGGATTAAATTAAATCAAAATTTTGAAAGCACTGCAAGAACTGAGCATAACTTTTAATCAAACAACAGATCAGAGCAAGAACAGCAGCTGACAGTCAAACTCAACACACCAGGTGACCTCAGTGTGAATATGAGGGGCACAAGTCATGATCTGCAAATATTTAACAGAGTGCTGTATCCAGGGATATTAATGGAAAGCTGAGTGGAAGGAAAAAGTGTGGTAGAAAAAGAGGACAAAGTTAAAAAAAAATATGAGCACAGCCAATCAAATGTTCTGAACAAATTATGAACTTGGACAAAAAACATGAAAACTTGTGTTTTGTTAAAGAACGAATGAGTCGGCACACATCCTTTTTGAGTAGAAACTTTGAATTTAATGAGGTGAAACTTAATTTCACAAATCTTCAAAACCTGCTGCCTTGTAATAAATCCAAATGAGGCAGGTAAAAAAAAAAAAAAAAAAAAAAAAACAAAAAAAAAAAAAAAAAAAAAACAACACAGTGATGGATTCAGGGATGGAGAGTTGAGTGGTCGATGCTTGTGGCTCAGAATCGCCCTGAACGCTCTCTGTCTCTAGACCGACGCCGCTCATGGTTACGGCCTCCTCCTCCTCCTCCTCGGCCTCTGTCCCGGTCTCTGGATCGGGACCGAGACCGGTGGCGGCTGCACATGCAAAGAAGAAGCAGGGGAAGGAAAGAAAAAAAAAAAAAAAAAAAAATCAAAAAAACTTCACAGAGGCAGGTAAACGTGTCTTAATATGGAAGAGATGTTTTCACCCCTTCCTGCGGCGTCCATAGAGCTCTCTCCTGAGTTCACGTGAGATTGGTTTCAGATGCATGAAGTTACAGAAACCTCCACGAGTGCATTCCCTGCAGAAAGGAGGACAGTCATTTAAAACAGACTTAAAAAAAAAACAACAACTCTGGGATATTCTGAAGTGAAAACGTACACTGAAAACAACAGATGGTAGAAATGGGGTTGCACTATTCTTTAAGCAAAAACACAGAAACACCCAAAGCGGCCGAACCCAACTCCACTGCTGAATGCTGATGTTCTGTTTCTTAAAGTTGTGCTCCAGCTGATTCAAACGATGAATCAGCTGGGTTCATCATTGCTGATTAAAATGTAAATTAATCAGCAATGTTTGTGTTTAGTCTGCTTGAATCAACACTTGAATTAAAATTGTTTGACCCACCATTTTGAGCAATGCATCATCACCAGTGAGGACCATGAGGTCGACTGATCATGGCCCGTTTTTGATGAATAAGTCAAGGCTGAAGGATGACAGAGCATTTGCAGTTGTAGTTTGGCTCTGTGAACTCAATGGACTTCAAGGAAAAGACAAAGACTCTTCTATATATACTATATTTGATACTACGTTATTTTATTTAGCCAGAAGTTGGGGTTTATTTCATATTCAAAATCTAACATTATCAAACGTGTGAGGAGGTTAAGTTTTAAAAATGTAAATAAATGTGTTTTAGGCTGGCAGGTTGTAAAACATCCAAATCTTACGGTACAGGAAGCACAAGTTGTGGCCCAGTGCAATAAATTAACTCTCCAGAAGGATTGTTTTCACGTCTGTAATGATGCAGACCCGTTTTTACTCACCCCATCTCATACTGGCGACAGCAGGCCTCTCTGAAGTCTGTGACGGGAGAGAGCTCGGCGTGGATCGGCTGCCCGTTGAACCATCGATTGTTCAAGTCGATCACAGCCTTCTCAGCATCCTCCTCGTTACGGAACTATAATGCGATCAGAGGAGATATTAATTTAAAAAAAAAAAAAAAACCATGTTGGAGTCAAATGAGCCATCACAGCAGTGCAAAGACAACAACGTGTTCATTTTAGAACAATGTTCACCTTCACATAAACATTTCCCACAAGATGGTCCCCAAGGTTGTCACAAACGTTCATTTCCTCCACCTCTCCGTATTTTTCTTCCATCTCTGTGAAGACTTCCTGCAGTGGCAGGAAACAAGGAGTTACGAGTGAGGTTTTGAGCTCCACGTTTTATGGATTTGCGATGAATAAATGTTCTCAAACTTTGCCAAGAATATGAATCACCAGTTACCTCAAAAAACTCGTCATAGTGCTCCTGCATCTCCATGTCGCTGACGGTACCTGGTGGTTGCAACAGACAATAATAAATAAAAAGTGATTATTGAAACTATGATTACAACATGTTGGCAGAAAGCCTCTCAGCATGGGCAAAGTAATCACATTTGGTGATATTTTTACAAAACCAACATTTGTTGCTGAATGAAATACGTCATTATTTCAAACGAGACACAGTTTGTTGTCATGTTTGTAAGCTTAACTTGCATTAGAGAAATAAAATCAACGTTCAAATCCATTAACCAGCTTTGGGTTAATTTTTGGTTAAAAGCAGGAACGGATAAAATTATTACATTTACGTTAAGTGTCTAATTATTTTTGTGTCATTTCTAACCTTAGGAGAGAAAACACAATGTTCAGCATATAAACATCACATTAATTCAATACAGGCTCACACCAAACATTTTCAGCATGAATAAATGCATTGTCAAATCCCTGGTATTCATTGTCTTTTAATATCTTACAGAAAGATAGATGACAGAAAAAAAAACCCAGATACTTTTACTGCATTTTAGGTTTTTACTTACAGGTTAATCCATCCAAAGACTGAGCGCTGTTCTGAGGGTTCCTGTAAATATTCAGCAGGGCAATTGTCTGAAAAACAAACAAAAAACAAACAAACTCACATTTGAACACATGAAGCCAAACATCAAACTACAAGAAATGTTTTCCACTTAAGTGATGTCTTCCAGAACAAAATCTAACTATGTAATATTATTATAGTACAGAATTAACAAAATAGAAAAGTTTCACCTCATCCTTCATGTAGTTTTTCTCTCTGCTGATTTTAGGCCATTAGAGGCTCTTTATTTAATGTTGTCAAATTACATGCTTTTTTTTTGTCATCTAATCCTATACCGTTATATTATTACAGGTATTTTACATTGAAAAATGTATGTTCTGTTACAAGTGTCTCAACTTCATGCTGTATATGTGGAAGAATGTCAGTAAGAGGTACTTACCTGGCTAAATGTTGGCTTGTTGTGTAATCTGGAGCAGCGGTCGCCATGTCGGCAGGCACCAATTTTAAAGTAAAACGAACAATTGACTCTGGAAAAAAAATAAAGTAAAAACATTAAAGTCAAACAAAGACACAAGAGTTCTACAGAAGACAACCCAAATTAAATATACATATACAGTAAAAACTTTACTGTAATACAGTTTAATTGCTATTTGTTTTACATGAAGATACGAAATGATGAGAGAACACAATTTAAAAAAAATGGATGCATCTACATGCTTCTTCTTTATAATGATAAATGTTACCTTATTTTTAGGTCATTAGTACAACAGCAAGGTAGACTGGCACATTTATGCAATATTATAGGAAGCATTACTTCTGCAATAAGTGTCTAAACATGGAATCAAATATCAGATCAGACATGGTTAATATTTTGAAATTTTGAGGACTAACTACTCACATTGATTGGTAAATACTAGTTTTACTCAACTTAATAGAGGTAAATACTGTATGCAAAAAACAAATTACTAATTTATTCATCAAATTTTGCTTCCTGAGTCTCTTTGAGACAGTTTAACAACAACAAAAGAAGACTTTAATGATTTATTTATTTTTTTATATATTTTTTTAATGTTTATCAAAAAGGCCCGCGGAAAAATATCCAATATTCTTGATTTACAAAAAATGATGATGATAATTACAATTAGTAGTTTTCGGGGTGCGTAGGGAATGTTAGTGAAAGGTTACAATAATTTAATTTCTTTAAAACAATTTAATTTTTTAAAAAGCTAACCACGAGCATCACGTTTTTCTCTGCTACAAACAAAGAAATGTTTGAGGTTAGCACAAAGGGAGCTAGTAGACTGAGTAAAGCCAGTATTAATGCTAATTCAAATAATTTTTATTAGTCAATAATAGATTATGATTTCTAAACACCACTTTTCATTTACCATCTCATTCAGACCAAAAGCTAACTGTCGTGTGCGACGACATTTAGCATGCTAGCGCTAGTAGCCACGGCTAATGTAATGCTGCGGCATTTCGATAAGAACTGAGTGAGTTTTGCACTGATATTCAAAGCTATTCTCATTTAAAAATCGTGGACAATGAAAATACATATTAGTTAACCAAGCACTTATTAATCACTTACTTATCTTTCTCTGTCCCGAAGATGGAGGCCAGATACTCTGCCATCTTGGCTCGCTATTCAAATCAGGCAACATTGACTAGTACACTTCCGGCACGCTTTATTCACAATAAAAGCACGTTCACTGTCAACATTCAATTTTCACAACAAAACGACATTTAAAGAAACAGCATTCTAAAAAAAAGACAATATGTCAGTGATTGAATCATAATGTGAGATGTATTTTGTAGTTTACCTCGATGTGTCTATGTTCTTTTTATTTAACCCAATGTTGTTTCTACTTTAATCTGATCACAGTAACTTATTTTTACATATTACAGAAAGGGGGCAACAATAACTAGTTACACTTACTCAGTTACATTTTGAGTAACCTTCAGAAAAAAAAAATAAAAACTTTTAATGGTATTGTTACTGCACTATAATATATATTTATACTTGAGTTTTATTTATTTATTTATTTTTTACATAAGTACAATTTCTGGACCATTAAACTACAGTATACGGTATTGTCATTGGAAGTACTTTATTCTGATCCAATATACATATAGATTACTCACTGTAAGTATTAGTTTCATAAATTTTAAACTGAGAAGTTCACTTTCTTCTCCATATGAACATGGCATATTGTAATCGTACTATTAGCATTTTTATTTTCATTTTTAAAATACCAAAATCTGCACACAGCTTTATATTTTTGTCTGACATGACTTCATAATACCAAATCAGGATCTTAAATTAGGATCTGTTACTCAGGTATTAAATAGATTTTTTTATTTTTTTTTTTATTTCACTTGAGTAATTCCTTGGATGGTTTACTTTTTATTTGAGTGTAAATATATTGAAGTAGTGGTACTCTTGAGTACAACTTCTGAATAAGTTAACCACCCCTGTTCATAGATTGGTTTTTCTATCCTTTTTTATTTTACATTATTCTTTAAATTGATTGTGCTTTCCAAATTTCTGATGTACATTTAAGCTGAGCTTCAGCAACAACATGAACAGGATTGTTTAGTTAGTGGATGAGCATACATGTTCCAACTCAAACTAGACATTCCAGGAATGGACGAATTTATGAAAATAAAAACTTAACACATGGATGTAAAAATATAAAAACTGATACAAGTTTATTTTAATTTTAAGATTGAGTATTTACATGATCCACTGGGGAAAAGAGCCATATATTCATGCAAATACTTTTCAGATATACACATGTGGCGGCCTGACATTTACAGTTTAACAGAAGTGAAACATCCAAATGTCTCTAGTTCAATATTCAACATAGTAAACAGAAACTAAACCTTGCTTGTTGGTTGCACTACTACCTTTTTTAATAAGGATGGTATATCAGTGAATCTCACTTTATTGTTTTAAGGAACCTTTACAAAGTTATCAACAAAAGTAAGTTGTCAGCATAGATGATAAGCAAAATATTTACATTATTTTGATTTTATATTACAGAATGTATGTCACTTGCTTTGGGAAATACATTACTGAATTATTCTCCCAATGAAGTAATTTCACTGAACTGAATATTTTTACAGTATTGGAACTTGAACTGAAGAAACGGTTTTTTTGACTGGATGATGTTTTAAAGAAGCTAATTAAGTGTAACCCCATTTATAATGGCCACAATTTAACATGTGCTCCTAGCTTGATCTGCCTGCCTTTTTACAAAAAATGCTTCCAGAAAAGCTTAGCATTGTGTTCAAGAGTCTTGGGCTGCTACAACACTCATGTGATTAGTGTTAGATGGTGTAAGTGAAGATACTCGACATATCTTCACTTGGACTTATGGGATGATTCAAGTGTTCCGAGGTCATTTTTTAAAAATGTATTGTGCTTTGTTTCCATAGGTTTTCATGTTGCAACAGATGATGCAAAAATGATTCGTTCTCAAGCTTCCAAGATAGACAAGTGAAAGTCAGGCTTGCAAGATAGTCATTTTTTATTTTTATTTTATGCTTCTATGAGAAACTTAGTGTATGAATTTTTGAGTTATGTTTTAGACTGTTACAAAACCAACTGATATGAGGCATTTTAAAATGCATGGTATTGCTTATAGACTCAACCATCATCTAATTAGTGGTATTGTCAGGGTGGTGGCGTCATCATGCTGTTCTTCAGAACGGACAGCTGGTCAGGTGATTTGATGGGAAGATGGATGGAGCTACATGCAGGTCAATCCTGTAAGAAAACTTGAAACTGGAGAGGAGATAAACTTTCCAGATGAACAACTCCCTAAACATACAGCCAGAACAGTAATGGTCCTTAGATCAATGTTTTAGAATAGACCAGTCCAAACCACTCTTATCTTTGGATGTTCAAAGCTGGTAGAGACATAACAAAAAGACATACAGCTCGAACTGCAGAAACAGGAGGTTCTACAAAATAGTTTACTCGGTGGGACTGAATCCATATACATGGCCTATTTGTTTGAGTTTTTAGAAACTCATCCTCTCTTTCCTCAAAACAATTGTGCACAAAAAAATCCCAGTATGTAAAAATAAATTGTGTGGTTGTTACATGACAATATTTGAATAGGCCAAAGAACACTCTTGTGAAGCTCTTTACAATGCATAATTAATACACATAGGCTAAGCCAGAAAAAAAGCATATGTCTCTTTTAACTACCTGTATTTTGTTTGCAAGTTTTGAGCTCAGTATTACCAGTTAGTCTCCGCCCCTTGTTTCTGTAGCTGTGTTGTTGGCCCAAAACTTGAAGATACGACACGACCTGGTGAATTTTGGACTTCTGATTATTAAAAGTTTGAACTTTAAAAGGTACTGATATTCGCAAAAAGTTTATCTGGTCGGATGAGTTTTTTGTAACATGTTAGTGTAACGATAGATGGTTCCGTTTAGTCGTGCCCTGACTCTTCCCGCTATTTTACAGCTGAATTAGCCAAGCTAACCCTGTTAGCTGCTGAAAGTATAGTGAGGGTAGTGGGAAGAGGCCGCCCACCTTCCAGGCAAGCACTATTCGGCTAACTAGCACAGCCCTACCGACGGTGAGTAAACTCAGACTATCACAGACAGCTGGTGTTGGGCTTTTGTCGTTGTGGGAACACAGAAAGCAACGAAACGAAACGCTAGCTGTTAGCCGAAGGTAAAGCTGAGCCACCGCTGACCCCCTACAAGCAGACAGTAGGTACACATCCCGAGAGGATTAAGCGAATTTGAGTTCATACTTCCGCATTTCATGACAAACCGCTCTTAATTTAATAAAATCTGTAACATCACGATGGATTTTAGGCGATAGTTCTCCTGTAAAAAAAAAAGCGGGCTGTGTTGTTGATCCGAGCGGCGGATCTCGGAAGTCTTGTAACGCTGTAAACCTTTAGCCAGGATTTCCGGCTCCTTTCATTTGCCCTATGCTGTTTTGTTTCCGTTTATTCTATTTCCGTTTTAAAAGTTTTCTACATCCAGAGTTATAGTGTCGTTTAACGTAGCCGCGCTGAAGTTGTAACCCTTCCTGCGTTTTTATTTATTTCAAACGTAGTTTAGCACTGGAGGCAGCGGAGGATGGACGGTTGTGTAATGGACTGCCTCGCCCCGCGCTGCTGTTTTGTAGCTAACTTGTCCAACACAGGCCTGCTCCATTGTTGCCACACGTGTAGCCTGCTATCTGACATAGACTTTTGTACATTCATTTTGCACTTAATTGGGATTAATAGTTATGTTTAGAGAGTGTTTTGTTGTTCGAGGCCTAACAGTTGGCCCTGAACCCCACAGCCTCGACCTCGCCTTGGCTAACGTTGGCCAGGAGTGAAGTGTCCCAGGCGGCCAATGAGGAGGCGAGACTCAGAGGCCCTTCTAGCAAGGAAAAACTTAGCTGCTCATATAATTATGTTGTTTACGTGAGAAAAGTTGAGGTTTGAGAGGTTGTGCTCTGTTTAAGCTGTCAGCTTATATATATATATATATATATCAAGTTAAACTAATGTTTTAATTAATCTTCCAAACCTTTCAGATTTTATTAATTGAATTTAAATTGTATCCTACTCTATAGATGCTTTTGCAGTAAGTTTGATTTCTGTATTCATGTATTTTGCCATGAGATAAAGTACACATAAAATAAAAGCAAACAAATGAACAATCTCAGTACGATCTTTAGTAGCTGAGTTTTACGTATACATTTTGAAGGAGCTTTAATTCACAGGATATTCACTTTTTGTTTAGAAACCTCTTCACTGAAAAATTAATTTTTCAAAGCCAGGAATGTGTAGTTACCACTGATAAATGCATTTCCATAGGTATAGTCACACAGGATGAAAATAGAGTTGAAGATTGGTTGTTGTAGTGACAAAAACAATACAATATTTTTCTTACGTCTACATAGCATTGCATAAATTCTAAATCAAAACAAAATTTTGTCAAAAAAGAATACAAAATCTAATTAGTTTATTAGTAAACTTGTAAAGTTTACTTGCAAGGTAAACTTTATTACTGTATAATAAAATAATCTATACATTTTGGTGTTTGTTGTAGATTAGGTATCAGTCAATGAGTGTTTCACAGCTTGATAGCTCCCTAAATGTATTTAGGAAGTCTTGAATTTAATCATAGTTGGGGTTTTTTTTGTCTTAAAAAGTCTCAAATGAGCCCAGATTTCCCATTCAAGATCTTTAATTATATTTAATTGTAGACCATACAATTTTACATTTGTACATTCTGTCCTTATTTTGTTAACTTTTTTCTTTTGAAAAATATAGCAGCATTAATTTGTTCCACACCCTGTAATTGTGGCTAAGGAATTTGGCCATCATTACTTTGACAATCAAAGTTCTTGATGTAGGGCAATAAACATTCTTGTTGGAAGGACTTTAGGCTGTCTAATAAAACCCTGATAAATTACTTCTCCTAGATTTGGCCTTACATAGTTTCTGCAGACAAATCAACGGAAAACATTCTTGTTTGTTTTTAACAACCTGGCCCTTTCTCATAAAATATTGCATATTTTGGCTTGATTTCAGAGAGCAGTCTGCTAAAATACATTCACAACAGTCATTAAAAAAGTTAATGCACACACAGTTTGAAGGCACTGAAGCTTCATCAATTATAAGTTCTGGAGTCACATGCAGTAGTGGAAAAACAAATATCAGTGGATAAAGTTACATTTGCATTTTTAAAAACTTTTTCTTTCCTCTTATGCAGAGCAATAAGTGGAGGAGGGGCAGCACCTTATGTAGCATTAAACCAGAGAAAAGTCCCTGGTACTGGTATGATGAAAGTTTTTTTGGTGATTTTTAAATCTTGTTATACCTTAATACAATTAAGGTATAACAAATTTCATAGATGTCCTACTCAGAACTGGCTGCAATAACAACTAAAAGTATCACCCTCAAACAATAAGTTGCCAGTACCAGGATAGAGGGAGAGCTAATAGGGGCACCACTAGAGGGCACCATAGTTCAACATAAAGAATTGTTTCAAACGTGAATCTAAATCAGGGGTGTCAAACTCATTTTCTTAATCTGATCTGCAAGATTAAATAGAACCAATAAAAGTGGACTTGTTGTTGATTTTTATATTAAACAAATTTCACTTTTACAAAATATACTATGAAAAATCTCAGTTTTTAAGAAAGGTATCTGCAATTTCAACAATACTTTAACTCAGTTAAGCATTTATTTAAGTGCATTATGCATAAGAACTGATCTCAGTGATTCACAGTTTTTGGAACTTAAAAACACTGTCCTGCATCACAAAATACAACAGACAAAAATTAAGAAAATATTTAATTTTCAACATCTGGCAAGCAATTTGAACAAATTATCTGGCTTCACACATTTGAAATCTTAAGTGTCAGCTGTTTTAAACAGACATTTGATTAAGTAATGTCTGATTAAGTAATGTTGATGCATGAAATGCATACATATAGAAAAACTTGCATACATAACATGTATGTATGTTAGCATGCACGAGAAATATGAGGTTGCCAGGGCCAAAATAAAAAGCTGGTAAAGCATAGAATCGAACTTGTTTACAGAACCTGAAGCTCAGTGCTGCCATCTGCTGTTAGTTCCGCTGCAGTGTTGCATCATGTTGTGTACTCTGAATACAACACAGCGCCCCTCGTGGACAGCATAGGAACTGCAGATTTTCAATTAAACGAAGTATATGTTTTTTCATGAATAATGATAATGCATTTAGCCGCCGGGCCGGACTAAATCGTTTTTTGTTTAAATGTATGAATCAGTTGATTTTAAAACACATTCTCTTGTAAAAATCAACTTTGTGATAGTTGTTTTTATTTTCTTTTTGTTTTTTACTTTTTATTTTCTCATTTTTGTGTTAAACCTTTAAGTGAAATGAATCTGAGCAAAACTTATTCTCTCTGTCTTCAAGGGACCTGTAACTCAAGATGTCTAAAAGCGAGACAGAGGAGTTGATAGAGATCGAGATTGATGAACGGGAGAAACAGGCGTGCCTAGAGGAAGGGTAAGCTAAAAGATCACTTAAACACTTAAAACGTGTGCGGATCCTACATGTTTTCATTCTCATTGTCTTGCATTTGTAGCATTGAGGAGCAGACCATCACAGCGTCTGATTTGATTCAACAAGATATTGACATCAATGAGCCCATTGGCAATCTGAAGAAGCTTTTGGAGCCTCGCGTCCAATTCTGTCTGGATGGATTCGACATCTGCTTACAAGACATTCAGGTCAGATCGGCGTGGCACTAGATCATCTCATATTTTGAAGCAAATATTTTGTACTTATTTGTTATTTTTTTTTGTTTTTCAGCTTCACCCGGATCACAGCCTCTTTGATCAGGGGGTAAAGACGGATGGCACCGTGCAGCTCAGCCTGCAGATCGTAGCCAAACCAGGTACCAGTTCAGCCAGAAGTGTTGAACACGATTGTCCTACAAACCCAAATTTCACTAAATCATCATTCATGGCGTTTGTCTTTGCCCAGGGGAGGAGAAGCTGAACATCCTGGAAATAGTGAAGCCTGTAGAAACGGTAGAAGTTGTGATTGACCCGGATGCGGCGGGAGAAGATGGGTCGTTGGTGGAGGAAGGACAGCTCATCGCAGTAGAGCGGTCCTCCCTGTCCGATGAGACGTCGGAGCAGGTGACGCGCTGGGCCGCCGCATTGGAAGGTTACCGCAAGGAGCAGGTCCGGCTCGGAATACCGTACGGTGAGAAACGCCTTCGCTGAAACCTTTAATCTCACGAGCCGTGGCAGTAAGGATCCTAACCTCCTTGCTCTTCCTCAGATCCTTTGCTCTGGACAGCTGACCAGGTGATCCACTGGGCTGTGTGGGTCATGAAGGAATTCAACATCGACGAGATGGAGATCGGCAGCATCCACATCCCCGGCCGAGAGCTCTGCAGTTTCAACCAAGAGGAGTTCCTTCAGAAAGTGCCCAACGGCGAGATACTGTGGAGCCACCTGGAGCTGCTACGCAAATGTACGTCACAACAAACCTCTGTTTGCTCTGAATACTGGAAAGGTCGTCTGTTCTTTGCTAAGTATTCGCCTCTATGGAGAGAGTAATTCTTTATATATATCTCAGACGTGTTGGCCAGTCAGGACCAGTCGGGCGGGGACGCCACTGTCACTATAGATCAACGTAAGTGTCACACGTGATCCAGTTTGGTTTGATGTGTGGGACTTGCGTTATCCTAGCACAGAACAAAAATGACTCATAAATATATTAGCTGCAACGTTCCTGATCACTCGTTTGTCTTTGTAGCTGTTCAGATAATTCCAGCTCAAGTGAGCACGCCTACCGCTATAAAAGTACTGAAACACAACCGGGGCCCCAGAGCGCCCAGAATTTCAGGAGAGGAGCGCAGTTCCCCCGGCAACCGCACAGGTAACGCCTCACACTAACTTCAACGTGTATATACTTTCATTTCCCATTGAGGAGTTATATCATTAAACTTATACATTTCTACATTAATGTACTACATTCTACAGAAAACACCACTAATTGGGTTTATTATTGGCCCTCATGTAGAAATGATTGTTGCTGAGTTTGATTGTTGCTCATTTCAAAGACTGATTTCGTTATTTCCTCTGTGATGGCCGCCCTGTCTCCACGGTTTCCAGGTAACAACGGTCAGATCCAGCTGTGGCAGTTCCTGCTGGAGCTTCTGACGGACAAAGACGCAAGAGACTGCATCTCCTGGGTCGGAGAGGAGGGAGAGTTCAAGCTGAACCAGCCGGAGCTCGTGGCGCAGAAATGGGGCCAACGCAAAAACAAGCCGACGATGAACTACGAGAAGCTCAGCAGAGCCCTGAGGTTTGTTTCTCCTCATTTAGTTCATGTTTTTCTTTCTCAGAAGCACTGGGTTATTTTAGATGCCTTTTTCATTGAAGTTTAGAGACTTCTAGGATTTGAACTTTAACCTTGGTGTCAAATTAATGCAGAAGTATACAGCTTACTTACCCATTAGAAACATTCCTGATTGGCAGCGCTAAATTTATTGACCTCAAATTTGTGACTTCAAAAATTCCTAAATATTTCCAGATTTTCATTTGATTTCATTAAGTTGCGTCTTAAATTTGTAAATTAATTCATTGCTTCTTTCTTTGATTTTTGTAAAAATGTTTCTTAAGAAATGAATTGGCTGGATTATTTAGCTCCACATGTGGTATTTATAGCAATATTAAAACCTCTTGACATTGTATTAAGTCACACCCAGACACTTCAGTGTGTTGTATTTGTGTTTTATATGATAATAGTGCCTACTTGTGAATTTATTTCTAAAATAAAGTTAAAGGTTAGGCATGGCAGTTTGATCTTTGGGCCCCTTTTGTCTGACACTCCTCAATAAAGTCCTGTGCAACCAGTTGTCTTGCTCGCACATGACTTCAGAATAAACCTGTTCTGTGAAAGTCACGGAGGCTCAATAGAGGAAGTTTGTGAAGACCAAAAAACACAAGAGACATGTCAGCGATGACATCGTGGGGAGGTTTAAATGAAGATTAATCCCAAGGTTTGAATGATTCAATCCCTTGTGCAGGAATTCAAAGGGTTTTCCACAACTGTACCCTGAAGGTCTGGCAAAGAGGATAAGTCATAGGTTCAGCTGAGAGGCCTGCGGTGACTCAGGCGGGAGAGTCTACTGACGGAACAGATAGTAATGATGCAATCTACAAATCTGAGCTTCATGTAAGAAAGGCAAGGGTTTTGCCTCAAATCATACAGAAAAACTAAAGAAGGTGCTCTTCTCCTAAGTGATGAAAAGGTTATGTGTAGAGTTGCAGATCCAGCCCCCACTGTGGCCCAAAAATGCTAAAGAACTTAGCTTTATTTTCAAATGGAAAGGTAATCAAAATGTAGCAGTTTTTCTCAAATAAGTTATTCTTCAATAAGTAAAGGTTGCCGCCTCGTGTTGAGGAAAGTTTGCAGATTCCCCTTAAAGCACCTCTTGAACAGCAACCCATAATGCATCATGCTTTGAGGAAGCATTTTCTCCAACAAGGCCAGGCACGTTTAGATTAACGCATACTTCTTCTGTTTACACTTCTGCGGATGTGACAAAGCCTCGTAAAGCAGATCAAGTCAGTAAATCTATTTATATTGCTTGGACTTGTTTAACCAGTTTACATTTTTCCTTTAAGTAAAAGTGAATCTTAAGGACCGGAGTGCTTGTGATCCAAGTATCAGCTGAAACTGATTGAGAAATTGTTGTTGCAATAGGTCTTGACTTTAACGAAGCCAATCCCAGGTGCTGATAAATAGCTAGCTTAAAAACAACAACACAGTTCTTTTTTTTTTTTTTTTTTTTTTTGTACTGGAGT